AGAGGTTTGTCTACTTTAATCTTCAGATCCTGCAACAGATTCAGAATCCACACAGCTTGGCATGCAGTAACAGCACCTGCAATGTATTCAGCTTCACAGGTTGACAACGCCACAACAGGTTGCTTCTTGGAACACCAAGAAATGGAACCTCCCAGAAATTTGAACAAGTACCCAGATGTACTTCTTCTGTCAACTCTGTCTCCACACCAATCAGAGTCTGAATAACTCAGAAGTTCTGACTCATTATTTCCTCCAGAGGGAAATAACACTCCATACTTCAGAGTTCCTTTGATATACCTCAGAATCCTGACAGTAGCTTGGTAATGGGACCACTTAGGTTTACTCATGAACCTACTAACCATCCCAACTGAGTAGCAAATATCAGGTCTGGTATTGCACAGATACCTCAGAGAACCAACCAACTGTTTGAAGGTTGTAGGGTCCACATCCTTTCCTTCAGAGTCTGAATCCAGTTTCTGATTTGTATCAGAAGGTGTGACAACCATCTTACAATTCTTCAGATCAAATCTCTTCAGAAGTTCTAATTCATACTTGAGCTGATGCAAAATGATACCTTTCTCAGAATATCTGAACTCCATCCCTAGAAAGTATGTCATTTTGCCTAGATCAGTCATTTCAAATTCATTCATTAGAACCTTCTTGAACTTGGCTATCTCCTGTTCAGAACTTCCAGTCAGCAGTATATCATCAACATATAAACATACCAGAGTCATATTGCCTTCAGAAGTATGCTGAACATAGACACCGTACTCCATCTCACATTTCTGAAAGCCTTGCTTCTTGAAAAATGAATCAATCTTCTGATTCCAAGCTCTGGGCGCTTGTTTCAATCCATATAGAGCTTTGTATAATCTGTACACCATCCCTTCCTGATTCTTTTTCACAAATTCAGGAGGTTGTGACACGTAAACTTCTTCTTTTAATGGACCGTTGAGAAATGCAGATTTTACATCTAAATGCATCAGAGGCCAATTCCTGTTAGCAGCTATTGCAATTACCATTCTGATTGTTTCATGTCTGGCTACAGGTGCAAACACTTCAGAGTAATCCAGCCCAGGTTTTTGTAGAAATCCTCTAGCTACCAACCTTGCTTTATGTTTGCCTATTGAGCCATCTGGCTTTAACTTCTGCTTGAAAACCTATATGACGCTGATGGCTTTCTTGTCTTTTGGAAGTTCTGTCAACTTCCAAGTCTTGTTTCTCTCTATAGCATCAAGTTATTCTTTCATGGCCTTCAGCCAGAGCTTCTGCTTAAGAGCCTCTTCTGTACTTATGGGTTCAGAGTCTACTAACATGGCACACTGAATAACTTCTCCTTCAGAGTCTACTTCAGTGTCTTACAGCATGTCAAATTCTGCAAATCTTCTGGGAACGCTTCTGATTCTTTGTGGTCTCTGAACTTGTTCAGAGTCTTGAGCTTCAGATGATTGACTTTCTCCAGAGCTTTGACCAACTTCAGGATCTAGCATATTTCCAGAGTCTTGAACTTCAGAATTTCTAGCTTCAGAGGCTTGACTTCCTCCAGAGCCTTGGCCATCTTCAGAGTCTGAATTTCCACCAGAATCTGGATTACCATCAGAGTCTGGATCATCAGAGTCACCTTCATCTTCTGAGTCTTCTCCAGAGTCAGAATCACTATCAGAGTCAGAATCAACGTCATAGTTTACTTCAACTTCAGAAATTCTTAACTCTGACCTTTCTTCAGAAGTTCTAACATCAGAATCAGATTGAGACTTATCCCAATTCCAAACTTCTGATTCCTTCACAATCACATCTTTGCTGAATTCAATTTTGTTGGTTTCTGGACAATAGAGCTTGTATGCACCAGTACTGTGGTACCCTATCAGAATCATCACTTTGCTTCTATCATCCAGCTTCTGTCTTCTGGCTTCTGGAACATGTTTATAGCAAACAGAACCAAACACCTTCAGATGACTAACACTTTGCTTGTCTCCAGTCCACTTCTGCATAGGAACTATTTCCTTCAACTTCTTCGTAGGACATCTGTTGAGTACATACGTTGCAGTGGCAACAGCTTCTCCCTAGAGCTTCTGAGGAAGCTTCTTCTCCTTTAGCATGCTTCTCACCATATCAAGCAAAGTACGGTTTCTTCTTTCAGCAAGACCATTGTGTTGAGGGGTATAAGGAGCAGTAACCTCATGCTCAATTCCATTCTCCTCACAGAACTTCTGGAACTCTTTGGAGTTATACTCACCTCCACCATCAGTTCTAAGAATCTTCAACTTCTGACCACTCTGATTCTCAGCCTTCATTCTGAACTTCTTGAATTCATCAAACACCTCATGTTTAAATTTAATAAGGGATACCCATGTCATTCTTGTGAATTCATCAACAAACAACACAAAGTATTTATTCCCTCCAATTGATGCTATTGGAAATGGACCACACACATCAGAATGTACAACTCCCAAGGCATGTTTTGCTCTTGGAGCAACTTCTGACGCAAATGGAAAACGTGATTGTTTTCCTTCCATGCAAACTTTGCATGACTTCTCAGGCTTCTTAATTGCAGGAATTCCATGTACCAGCTTCTTTGAATTCATATGTTTTAGGCTTCTGAAATTCAAATGACCAAATCTTCTGTGCCACAGCTCACTCTCCTTCTCAGCACATGTTGCACTAAGACATTCTGAGTCTGCAGTTCTGACATTCACCTTGAATGTTCTATTCCTTCCCTGTTCTGACTCCATAATCAACTTCTGATTGTAGTCATACAACTTCAGAAGATTGTCCTTCATGGTAACTGAAAAACCTTTCTCAATTAATTGTCCCACACTCATCAGATTGCTTCTGATGCCAGGTACATACCACACGTTCTGAATCAATGCTGTTTTCCCATTGTTCAGAGTCACTCTGATATTTCCCATACCTTCTGCATTAAGATATTTATCATCAACACATCTGATCTTTGTCCTCTTTTCAGAGTCAAAGTCAACCAGCCATTTCTTGTTTCCAGTAAGATGATTTGAACAGCCAGTGTCCATATACCACCAGTCTGTCAGATCATCAGATTCAAAGGCCATCAATAGCACAGATTCGTCATCAGAACTTCTGTCTATATTTGCTTCTTCTGATTTTCTCTCCTTGTTTGACCAACAATCTCTAGCAAAGTGACCAAACTTCTTACAACAGTAACATTGGATCTTCTTCTTGTCATACTTCTCTTTTCCCTTCTGAGCATTCTTTTGTCTATCAGAGGTTGAGCTTTCTGACTTCTGACCACCATCAGATCTTCTCCTGGCTTCTGACTGCTTCTGATACCTCCTATCAGAAGTTGCTTTCAGAGCCTGCTGCTCTACTTCCCTTTCAGAAGTTCTTTCAGTCAAACGCAACTCTTGCGCTTCTAAACTGCTCTGCAGCTCTTCAATTCTCATGGTACTCAGATCTTTGGAATGTTCTATTGCTACCACAATGTAATCAAAGTGAGAGGTAAGGGATCTCAATACCTTCTCCATGATTGTTTCTTCAGAAAGAGTTTCTCCACACGCCTTCATCTCATTAGTGATCAGAATCACTCTGGAGATGTATTCAGAAACTTTCTCATTATTCTTCATGTTGAGATTCTCATATTGCTTTCTCAAGGACTGAAGCTTCACCTTCTTCACTGATGCGTCACCACCATAACATCTAACCAGTATGTCCCACGCAGCCTTTGCTGTCGTTGAATCTGCAATCTTCTCAAACACATTTACATCAACACATTGATGAATAAAGAATAATGCTTTCTGATCCTTCTTCCTTACTTCCTTCTGTGCATTTTTCTGTTCATCTGTTGCATCTGCTGCTACCGGAACATAACCATCAGTGATAAGATCTAAAACATCTTGAGCACCAAACAGTACACGCATTTGGATCATCCAACGATTCCAGTTTTTACTGTCAAATACTGGAAGCTTGGTGTTCATGTTGTCGTTTCCGTTCATTTTCACCTTGCACAATACACTCAATGTTTCTCACACAGTGTTTTCCAACCCACAGAATAAAATTCTGATCAGATTTTGTTCAAGATTCAACACGAATCTAAGAATCAAAATCAAACACACAAGACCTCACGTTCACTCGTGTTTCCCGTGTTTCCCAATGAATCTGAACCGGAGCTCTAGATACCAATTGTTGGTGCAAAGGTGAATAAATGATGAACAAAGGAAATATTCTATTAAGAATGACGGCTACAAAAACATGATAAAAGTTATAATGATTGTCACCCTATTTATAAGCTAAAACTAGGGTTACTAAAAAAGAAAAAAATACTAAAATACCCTCTAACAAACTTAGGGGCTAAGAAAAATAGTACAACTAAATAAATATGAATTACTATTAATATTCTAATATGTGCAACATAATTGTACTTTGTCAGCTTGTCAGGCTGTTTGACGGATGAATTTGTTGTAGGAGCTGAAGTTCAAGGTGAACAAACTAGTCAAGACGATGATAAACAACAAATCTGCCATAAGTCTTGCAAAGAACTCAGTGCTGAATGGGAGAAGCAAGCATATAGAGACAAAGTTTCATTTTGAAAGAAAGTAGGAACAAAGACGTTTTTCTAGGAAATATCTAAAAGCTTGAAAGCCAAAAGTTTCAAAAACATCTAAACACCCAATTCACTCTATTTATAAGCAATTGCAACTCAAATATCAAAACCAACTATGGAAAAAAGTCTCAAGACCAACGATTAGATTTCGACTCATGGATACACGCCAACTCGAGTGCACTCAAGTACTCTTTAAAAATATTTTAGAAATTCCGTACATAGTATAGATCAAAAACTCAATAGTATTAGCATGCCAACCCAGTGTGTTTGCAATGTTATACGACCAAATATAAATATATGGTCTTAAGATTAATTGTGCACAAAAATCCATAAGTAGTAAACTAACGAAAATGTTAATAGAAAAATCCATAAGTAGTAAACTAAAAAACACAAGAAATTATGCTGATTATAAGAGCACAATTTTTTCTCATCCCACAACTTGTTGGCCTTGAAGCTTTTCAGTGATCCTTTCACGTGCAATTTGAAAGGACACAGGGTCAGACATCCAATTCATTGTGCCATGTTCTTTCCAACAGGGACTCAAAACCACTTGCTCAAGCTTTGAAACATATTTTAGAATATTTATAACAAACTCGATTTCAAACCAATTGCCAACACACCCTCCTAATTCAATAACCTTGACCTTGTTGTGAGAAAATCTTTCAATATCTTCAATATCTTTTTGATTTTTAAGGAACTTTGGATTTGTAAACTGAAAAAATTATAAACAAAACACTAATGTTGGTTTTATTTGCAATTGCATGTAGTAATCAAGTCAATAGATAATGGATGAAAGGCTAAGTACAATAAGCTCAAATGATGTGTATTCAATATGTTTACTTACCATGATTGAAAGTTTATGTAAAAGTGGAAAAACTTGAAGGATGTTTAGAATCCACAAAAGACTATAATTGGCTTCCTTTGAGATGGTTCCTTCCCATAAAAGACTCAAGTTCAATTGTTTAAGATGTTTGAGTGATTGAGTTATTTTTAGAGAAGTTATGACCTGAACAAATACATGTAAGATTCAAAATATAACTCAAATTAAAGAGAAAAAAAATATTTTTACAATACTTTAAAACTAACCGTCGATGACATATTTATACTCATAATTTCAAGTTGAGGAAATTTTGAGAGAGCAAATATGTCAAGATCTTGTTCATATTCAATGATGAAGTCAATGGATTTCATCATAGGGGCATTAATGCTCATCGTATTCAAGTCAGATCCATCGTATTCTAATGAAGTTAGTTTAACGCAATCTAGTAGAGTCCATTTTTCTTTCACCGGTATTCTATTGTAAGGGTCTATAATCTTGAGACTTAATAATGATGAACTTATTATGATTGGCTTTGATGCTTTAAACTCACATGTATATAATTGAAGCTCTTCAAGTAGTCGACAATTGGATAACAAATTTTCTAGGAAGACTTCATCCACTTTTATGTCGGTGAGTGAAAGAAATTTCAAATTTTTGAATGGACTAAAGTTATAGTTAGTTGGATGGAAAATAAGACAGCGTTCAAGATGCAAATGCTTTAGAGTTGAAGTATTGAGCTTCGAAAATAAATCTAAGAGAAATTTATAACAATTATGTAGATGACTATATCCATATAACACTCCTCCAAAGAGTAGATCAATTCTAACAAAGGACCAACCGGCTGCTCCTCTTTCAATAGCAAATCTTATCCATCTATCAATAATGGTGCTTTGGTCACCATTCAAACAAAATTTTACCAAGAACGAATCGATCATTGTGCCTCGAAAGTTGTTAACAAATTGATCCACACATTTCGCAAACTCATCTCTTTCCTTATCCATATTCACAAGTCCCTCCCTAATAGAACTATCATAGTCATACTTGAGATATATGGTTTCTAGGAGTTCTTCCTTAGTCTCTCCAAACACATTCAAAGTATCAAAGTGGAGATTTTTTCTCAGAGCCCAAAGCTCGCTCCACCTTTTAGAGAGGATACTAGTTTTCAACAAATCTTTCATGGTTACCATTGTTAGGATATAAGATATCACACAATCGGGTAATTCACTAATATAATCAGTGATATTACCAATGTTGCTCGAAATCGTCACAATTGACCTGAAATATAAAGATTTCAAAATAATTATATTTTGAGACAGGAGAAACAAATCATTAGAAAAACACCTTTGAACTTAATACACCCCTATTATGTTATTTACAATTATATGGAAATCATAATATAATATGAATTGTAAAAGTATAACCTAATATTAGACAATAATCAAATTGAATATTAATCAATTCAAAATTAGAAAAGCACCTAGAATAATGCTAGTAAATCATATTAATTACTGAAATATTATACTAAAAATATTAATTTGTTATGAAATAAAAAATAAAGCAACCAAAAATTATATCACTGGTTTCTTTCTTTTTAAAAAAAAATAACCAACCAAAATAAAAATGTACACAATCAGATTATATCCTTTTATTTATTAACTAGTCACATCTATTTATCAGCCATATCAAATATTGCAATAATAGTGATATCTATAATAATGATAAATTATTATGGAAAAATAAACCAATCATAAAAGACTAATTATTAATACAAAATTTCTTATTAAAAAATAAATGTAAAAGAAATGGATTTGTCATCATCCACTAAAGTAAACTCAACAACCAATCATTTATCCTGGCATCAGGAAGAGCACGATAACTCAGAATGGAGGAAAAAATAGTTTTCTTAGCAAACTCACATTGTAGGAAAAGGTTGTGCGCAAATTCAACCTCAACATGAGAGAAAGAGCAAGCTTTATCTAACCTGATATATTTTTTCAGGAGATTATCTTTGGTAGATAGAATATTTTTTGTCAATCTCCAAAGGAAGTTACGTGTTCTAGCATTGAAAGGGGATCTCCAGTGTTCTAGCATTGAAAGGGGATCTCCAAATCTCCTTCCACAGCTTCTGATACGAAATGCATAAAGGACTTGGGTTTTTAACTACTTTATCTTCCATACATAAGTAATAAGCAGAACGGACCGAGTAATCACCACTTTTTTCAAAATGTCAAATAACCTTGTCTTCATTGTTTCTGAGAGAGAGAGGGATGCTAACTATTTGTTTAGCATCGTCTGGACCAAACTTGGAGAAAATCATATTCCTCTTTCACTATCCCATCTTACCATCAATAAGATCACTCACCTCTCATTTAGATTTTTTAAATGGGACCCACTCAATTTTTTATATTATATTACACCTTCTCATTTTTTAAACAACTCTACTTACATTTTTTAAATATTCATACAATATATAAAAACTCTAAAATGATTTCCACTAAATTTCACAAGATGCCCCACACATATTTATTATTGTTGTTGGTTTGAATGCAAAGTAGCCGTTTCTTTTTTAAAATAAATAAAAACAAGTCACATAATATGAAAGAAGCGTGGTTTAGTCTACGAACGTTTTTAATATGACAACGATGAAAAAAGTGAAATATCCAATGCATTATGGCATCATGACTTAGAAAATTGCGAAAGAACTCTTCAAAGAGACTGATATTTATGCTCTAAGCCTAAAACTTACAGATTTTGAAGCCAATGTGATATGGAATCCACGTGTCTTTGCAAGCCAAAACTTTATCACCATTACCAATTCTCCATCATGCTCCTTTGTGAATTAAGTCTCCTGCGCTTAAAATGGAGCTTTCCTTGATGGAACTCCTTGTATGATATCTACCTTTGAATACCTTCCCTACAAGAGAGTTATCACTAGTCAAAAGCCTCCAATGATGCTTACCTAAAAGGATGATGTTTAATTCATTGATGATACAAAAGCCCATTTCACCTTATCCTTTTGCCCTAGCCATCTTCTGCCATTTTGACCTAAGTGTCCTTCAACCACGATGAGTATGGGTTGTTTGACCGGTTGGGGCATAACCCTTTATCGAAATTGGTTGTTGGAAAAACCACCAATGTTTGCAACTCCTGGGTTTTGCATAGTCCTAACTGTTTGAATATGAGGGAATGATTGCATAGGCGCTTGTGGAGTGTTCAAACTACAGTAAAGCGGCAAGAAGCAAAAATTTAGTTTTGAATGAATTCTCTTCGGGATTTATATTGTCTCCACAGGGATCAGTGCGATAAAAGAACACCGTCAATGGTCTCTACATTTCTAATCTTGTTGTACAAAAGGTTTGGTTTAAAAGGTTCAAGGAACCATGAATAAAAGGCAGAAAATATAAAGTAAAGACTGAAATATAAACGGATCTTTGTTGGGATTGAATCTCATCAATTGATAACTCATGCATTCTTCTGATCATCTTAAACATAACTCAATCATTCGTCTAATATCCTCATGTATCACCCACAACAAAGGTTATCTCTAACGCAACATCGAGAGAACAACCATATTGTCTCATTGGTGATGTCTCACGCAACAAAAACACAACACAGAGGATTAAAAATTGATACTCACGCAAATGCTAAGCCTAAATCTATGTCTAGAGTTTAGGACCTAACAGGTAATCATCCTAGATCTAGATCTGAAGAGTACATGTCTATAGTGGTTCAAATCAAAGATAAATAGGTAAAACAGAGATGACACCCATATCGGATAAGTGATTGCTTTATATAAAACACAATGGTCAGAATACGTACATATGCTTAACTCTTTTTACATGTATTCACCTAACCTGTCAAATGGTTGTGAACATCGTTCTTCATCACTATTATCATGCTCCCGCACAATATCGTATTGATCTTATTCATGCTACTTAATCAACACACTAAAATAGAAGATACAATGAATATCAACTTACAAAACCATGTCAAAAGTTTGTTCGTTGATAAATGAAAATCTTAGATAAAAAATGTGAAAAGGTTTTGTCAAGACCCACAAATAAGCAATCAAAGATAATCAATCAATAGAGAATCCAAACTAGTTCACAAACATATATTAGATGAAATACTTATGTATCAAAAGATTACATCCAAATTCTAACAAGAGATCAAAGATCTTACCTCCTCCCTCTTAGGGTTTTGTATTTCTCTCTCTAAAATAAACTTGAAATGAAGAGAGATAAGTTTTGATGTAAAAAAATATCACAACTTAACCTAAAAATCAAGAAAAGTACTTATATATGTCGCGGTGAAATTTGGATACCAAGCTATTGATGAGCTTGAATCTTAATTCATTTGCAACCAAACTTTGATTTATCCAAAGGAAGGGAAAAAGATCGAAATACCCACAATGTGATGCACATGCAAAGGTAGAGAGTTTTAGGTTCGGGGGTTGATTAAACTTAGGGAAGGTGCTAGCATCCTAAGTTTCTGTAGTACTCTACAAGAACCTCTTGTTTTATGTTTGTTTTATTGCTAAGGTTTATCTGCTTAAAGGTGAAACACCTAGGGGTTTATTTCTAAGTATACTCTATAAGATATCACATCTTATGCCTACATATCCTGACAGGAGTGGAATCAGAGTATCTGTAGTTCCCCTAAAGGGTTTGAGGAGTGCTTTGACTGTGGTCAAAGTTCCTACGGGATAAGGGTAGTTGATTGATTGATTTTAGGAGAAAAGATGAATTATCATTTTAAGGGAGATTACTTGATTTTAACCGCCACAACTTTGTAGGAAAATTGATTGTATTGTTATGGGATAGAAGTTTTACCTCGCTTAAGATGATTAACATCTTATTCTCTAATGTGTTTGAATATTTTGAATTGAGTTGTTGATTTGTTTGTTCTAAGTTGTAAAAGATAAAATGTCCTCCTTATGGGATATGATCTAAACTTAGAAGATCAACTTGAATGAGATCAAGGATAATAGAGCAATATGATGCAAATGAGATGCATACACACAATTGTTTAGGTTATGCGCAAGTTCTTCCTTTGGACGCGATGCAATACGATAAGATAAATTGCGGTAAATGTAGATTGCGGAAGATAAAGGCAGATAAATAAAACATACACAAACGCATGAAAGCGCTAAGTGAGTGAGAGTGAATAATATGAGTGTGCGAACGGATCGGAGATGGAAGCGTGCACGGTCGATTGAGGGATATTGATTTAGTTTTAGTTGAAGGTTGCATTAGGTTTGTTTTAGTAAAATTGTTAATTATCATATGAAAGTTAATTTACTTAAGAAAACAGTTTTTTCTAAAATAAAATAAAAAAAGTTTAATTATTCTTATAACAAGTGGATATATGTTATTTAAATTATGAAAATGATTTTTTGTTATGTAATTATAAAAGGGGGAGTTATTGCTAAATAAAATAAATTAGATAGATTATTATGAAATGAGTTCTTTGATTAACATGATTAAAAAAGTTGTTATTTGTTATTAGATAAATTTTATTTTAGATAAAAAAGGGTCTTATTATAAATTATAAAAAAAGCTCAACTAAGTGAAATAATTATATTAAAAAGGGCGAATTATATTATTTTAATAAAAGGTTAATTAGATAAATTGGTTTTAGATTAGATTGAATAAAGGATTATATTAAAAAGGTTTGAATATGGTTAACTACAAAAAGGTTAATTAGTTATTTGATTAAATGAAATAGTTTTAAATTAAATGATTAGATTAAATAAATTGGTAGATAAAGGTTAATTAATTACTTAGGTGATAATTAGGTTAGGCTAATTAATGTAAATTAATGATTTAATTGGGGGGTTAACTAGAGGTTAGTGGGCGAAATGATTGGGTGTATGCATACGTATGGGTTACGGTGGGGTTACGCAGGTGGGGGTCGCGTGATGTGGATCAGGTGGCTGTGGTTGTGATGGTGCATGGTTGTAACGGTGTGGTATGTGCGTACGATTACAACATCAAAAAAAATTGAAAAAAAAGACAAAAGAACCCTAATTCCTGAATCTTCTTCCTCTCCGATCCTCCTTCCTCTCAATCTCTTTTGATTGTCTTGCTTCTTCTCCTCTCATCTCGATTTCCTACCTAAAACAATCAACAATAACAGAAATCATCAATGTTAGTTAAACAAAGCAACTTACGGTCTT